TTCTACAAGATAGTCTTTACAGAATCTGTGGCCACAACACTTGGTCTGTACGGGTTGACGGAGTGCAAGATGGCATATCTTACAGATACAATCATCAGCTAGCTGGTCGATAAAGTCAAAGTCATATCCCTGAGGTGCAGCCATTTTGTGATACCGAGACTACGAGATACATAAGTGACTGTGTGTTCTTCCGTGAAATATATGGACACCTTCATGCTTGACATGATTTTCATGCTGTGTTATTCACGAGCTGCATCTAAAGGTCCATGACTAGATAATGAGGGTTTTATTATCTGGGAGAGAGGGTCACATGGTTTGTTTGTATACAAACAGGTCACTCAGTTCTTGTCGTACCACAGGGAGCCCAATTTAGATTAAAGTGAATGGTAAAAATAAAATCGGAAAAATTAAATAATTAATATTTTTTTAAATTCAAGATCAAGATAATGTCCTCCGTAATGCGAAAGAGTAAAAAAATCAATGAAAAATGCACTAGAACATTTTTTTTCGCGCGCGCCTTTGTTTGCCTATATAATTTCCCTATGGTATCTGATGTTGATCTTATGTATATATACTCTGACAAGGGAGGAAACTACAGTCGCCATATTTGAACAAACAACTCACTTTAAACCACGATTTCATCGTCTTTTAAACCTCGACCTCCACAAAAAACTTGATCAAAGTGATCCCTACGATAGATGGGGGATTCATTTATTTAAAACTCTTTTGGCTCTTCCTCCAAGATTTCTATGAGTAAAATTTTCATGCAGAAAAATTTTTCGCTTGCAGAAAATTTTCTGCCATGTTATGTTAAGGTTACTACCTGCGTAGGACTCGGGCGAGAACGAATTTTGACCTTACTACTCTCCCGCACAGGATTTTTGTAACGTGCACACGACCCACCACCAGCCACCCCACAGGGCTAGTTTTGTTCTTGAAAAATCCTTCCACAAAGTTCTATATGGTCGACATTTTTTTGCTTTTTTGGTTGGTTTTACTTTGAAAAATGAAAGATAACTACCGATGATTCAACACGATATCAGGTTTAGTGAAAATTACAATGGATGTCTTTCATTTAACTTGAAATTTTGGAGATTTCCGGACTTTTTCAGGAGAAAACTGCATCATCATGAAAGCTGGTAAGCAAAAATCGATGCTATATATATATATTTTTCGTTTTAGAAGTCCTTAATGTAAATGAAAATATTTTAATGAATGAATTATCAGTTTATCTAACATGAGGTTGGTTTCGTTGTTTATAGGGCCTGGCAAAAAAATAAATGATTCAATAGTTGAGGAATCAAGCTCAGAAGCGACGTATATCTTATGTCCAGCTTATTTTCTGTTTTGCTGCTAATAAAGTAAGCATATCTATTTTATTACTTTCATTGCGGTAAAAATACTCTATACAAAAACGTAAAACTCTTAATATGGATAACCAAAAGATCGTTAAGTAAAAGAAGCATCGATTTTTGCTTACCAGCTTACCAGTTATAGAGACTGTAAGTTATTCCACAATTCTACCTAAACTAAAATACAGTTAATATTGCTGTATCCCAAGAATATGTACTTCTGACCTGAACTTCAGTGTTTTCAAAATGACAAGTTATCTAATGGACATCTAAAATGAAGGTAGATCGGACTCGTTTACGAAAGAGCCGGATTTTCGATGAACAAACTTGTTGACTTCACTGAGTCAAAGAATTTAAAAAACTTTAAACTTGAGAGAAAATTTAGCATTTACTGTTGGAATCAGTTGTTTAAAAGTAAAAAGAAGAGGTTTCAAGATAGCTGAAAACAGTCAAGCTGCTCGGAATAGAAGAATTAAACATAAAGGCACAAATACACCGAACTGAGAGCATCTGACAGAAAAAATCGCAAGTAAAATGCCCTTCAATCAGGTAAAAATAATTTCTTTTTTATTAGTTTGAATCCTCAAATACTAAGTTTGATTCACTTTTTGTACTTCGCCGATATTGTGATTGTATTTCTATTGTCTGTTTGGGACTTTAGAAGTTGAACAGTTATGAAAAAAATACCTGAACATTGAGGCGGAGCGAAAATTCCTGGTGCAAAATTTGAAAGAAAGTTCTAGTTTTAATAGTCAAACTTTTTCATTAATTCGCCTTTTCTCAATGGGCAATGTCTTTTGCATAAACTGACACACCGTATTTTGGCAAGCTAAACATATGTGATAATTGTGAAAGATGACTTCAATGCCTCTTGTATTTTTTTCTTCTGTGAAAACAGAAAATTTTCTTCGGCACATTT